TCTCAGGAAATTATTATTTCTCCTGAAGCATTCTCAACCCCATTTTTCTGTCATCTTTGTATATTCTCTATCTTGATTGGCCACAGTGCCTCTTGTAATTTCTACTACATTCTCACCTAGGGACCTAAATTGATTGCTTTGATCACTATCCCATCATGTTAGAAATTACTTCTCAGCATTCCATTAATACATATTAATGTAATGATATTTAATTAATACCTTAGTTATAATTAATAAATAATATTTAAATAATGCTTTAATAATTCTATTAAATCCCTAAGTTTCCCAGCTGACCTTCTAATTTCCCCCATCTATATTCTAATGGACTTGATAAGACTTGCATGCTAAGACTGAACTCTCAGCTCTCCTTTCCTTCTCTCATGTTCCCATTCATTCTCAGAGCACCAACTACCTCTTCCATGTCACAAGTCTCCCTACTTCTCATAAAATGCTTCATAGCAGTTAATGCTTTTATATATATATATATATATATATATATATATATATATATATAATAAGAAAAGAGAATAAATCTTTTCCCCATCAAAATACTTGTATTTTAGCAGTATCCTAAATTCGCCCAGCAAAGCACTGCACTAATGCAAAATACCTCTTATATGTGGGAAAATATAAAACATCATTCCCAGTTTCATAAAGTTGAAAACTTAAAATTCTGGAAGAAAAGTACGATTTCTCTTCTAGTATTCTGTTAATTACTGTAACAGGACAAATGAAGCTGTGAGCTTGAGCCAAGAAGTCTATACCACTGTTGCTCAAATTTTCTGTGGTTGAAGAGCCATGTTTTAAAATTTACAGTTCATGCTGCAGACCAGAATTCTTAGAAAATAACAGTAAAGTGAATTAACAGAAAAATAATCATGCCCTTGGATTTCAAAGTAAAGTCAAATTGCTATTAAAGTTTCTAAATAATTGCTCTCAATTTCATCCCCATCTAGTCATGGACTTGTAGTAAAGAGTTCACCTACCAGTGCGGATCCTCACATCACGCTTTGAAGAGCAGTGTTCTCCACAGTTCTGCTCTAAGGACTTCTCTAACTGTTGAGCATTCCTTAGCAAGTAGGTCTTAACACTTGGTTTCCAGAATTCCACAGCCTAGTTTTATTAGAAAATAACCATTTTAAAAATGATGGATTTGCAGTCAGCTAAGCCGACTGTGCTCTTTTCCCCATGGGGGCCCGGTGCGCAATGGCTGCAAACAGCAGCCTCCTCGGTAGTGTATGCAACCTGTTGCCTGTATGGGTTGCCCTAAGGGACCTTGGAGACAGCCCTTTCCAGTGGACATTAATGACTGGCATGCTGTCCCCAATCTAGGCTCCAGACAAGTATGTGCAGTGCCTTTAGAAAGCCCCAGAGCAAAGTGGCCAGGGTCCACATTGGTCAAGTCATAATGTTCATCTGTACCAAGCTGCAGAACAAGGAGCATGTGATTGAGGCCCTCTGCAGGGCCAAGTTCAAGTTCCCTGGTCACCAGAAGATCCACATCTCCAAGAAGTGGGGATTTACTAAGTTTAATGCCCATGGATTTGAAAACATGGTGGCAGGAAAGCGGCTCATCCCAGATGGCTGTGGGATCAAACACATCCCTAGTCGTGGCCCCTGGAAACATGGCGGGCCCTGAACTCGCGAGAGCCTTGGCGCTGTCCCCACCTTACTCATGCCCACCGATAAATCCTACTTTCTTGTCAAAAAAAAAAAAAAAAAAAAAATGAAGGAAATATTCACCAAGAATAAAGAATTAGCTATCCCACATTCCAAGTTTTAAATATAAACTGAGAAGTCAATATATCAGGGGAGAAAATAAATTAAATAATGAAGAATAATAGAAGAAACAGATTTTAAATTATCACAGCATTGAAAGTGAATGAAAATCGACTTATAGGACAAGCAATAATAAGAACAAACTGACAAAATAATAATATTGAACATGATGGATTTTCTTCATTTTAATTTTACAAAATATCTACTCTGGGGAACATACTTTAACTGATTAATGTCATTTAACAATTTTGAGCTCATAGGTTTGTGTTTTAAAGCCTGATGAAAGCTAAATACAAATTCAAACATATAATATTTCACATTTAATTTCGTGGACTTTTAAAAATTCATAGATCACTGATTAAGAATCTCTGGTGAGGTTACAAGTAAAATATTTTTATAAGTTCAAAAATGTTGTAACTTTCAAGTTGTGAATTGCTACTTTGTTTTTAGTGGAATGGAATTTAGATTTTAAAATACTAGAAGAACTAATGTGCAAATCTTTGGGAAAGTGAACCTATAATAGTTTACTAACTCTTCACATGGTCATTTTTTATATAAAGCTATCATATAATATCTTCCCTGTGTTGTACAAGGATAAGATCCTTGTATCTTATCATTTTATACATAGTGGTTGTACCACTTAATCCCCCTCACCCATTTTGCCCCTTTTCCTCTTCCCTCTGACAACCAACAGTCTGTTCTCTGAATCTGTGAGTCTGTTTATGTTTTATTATATTTTTTCATTTGTTTTATTTTCTAGACTCCACATATAAGTGAAAACATACAGTATCCCCCTGTGAGGTACTCTGGAGTTCTCAAGAGTATGCATGCATGTGTTTATGATGAGAAGCTTCCAAGATTTTTACTTCAGTATCTCCTTTGAGAGAATGTGATATTCATAGAGTGGCAAAAAAAAAAAAAAAAGTGAAATTTAGTCTCCAGAACATGCACTGTTAACATGAAACTCTTTTATTGATTCCCATTCATGGGCAAAAAAAAAAAAAAGGGAAATTTAGTCTCTAGAACATGCACTGTTAACATGAAACTCTTTTATTGATTCCCATTCATGACAAAAATAGATACGTAGATAATACTTCCTTCAGAAGTGCCTTTTAAGTTTTCTGATGTTAAAGTATCACTAAGTAATATTTACAGAAATGAGGAAAATGGGATACCTGAATACTCCTTGGCTTTGATTTATGAAACTCAAGGATCTAGAGTTTTAAATATATTTCTGTTCTTCCATAGAAAATCTACCCACAAAATGTTGTTTACAAAATCAGAAAAGAAACAAAGCCACTTCAGGGATATATAATAGTTGGCATTTATTATGTGTTTACTACAGGCCAGGTATTGTGCTAAACCTTATGAATTAGGGAAATCATTATCATCGTTTTATACATGAGGAACCTGAGGATTAAACAGGTTAACTAATCTGACCAAGATATTAAAGATAGTAAGAATTAGAGCTGGGATTCAAATTCAAGACAACGTGATTCCAAAGGCCTGAATTATGCCAGCTCCATCCCATCACCACCACCACAACCACCACCTCTGACATCACTGCCATCATCACCACAGCCATCACCATGACCACCAGCACCCCATCTTTTGCCTCAACCGATGTTTCTGAAGAAGTCAGGTTCCAGAGCAAAATGAGGTGGTGGTAGTTGTGTGTGGTAAGGACATGAAGTTAATATTCAAAATACACACCTGAGACAGAATCTTCCACAGTAGAAACCAAAAGTACATACTTTACCACACTCCCCAGGCAATTCTTAACACAAAGTAAAATGAAAGGACCACTGTAATATGCAATAGTGCTTCAATTTATATGGAAGTATTTCAATTATTAAAATATTTCAAGAAACATTTTTAAGGCTACAAAAATATAAATAGAAAGGTAAATGGGACAATATTTTAAGTATAGATGCAGCTTCTTACTCTTTTGTTTTGTGGCATTTGAAACAGTATGACCTAATGCAATTAGCAAGCAAGTATACAGTAAGAATTCAGTATAAAACACAACAGGTTTATTAGGAATAAATGACTCCTCAAGCACTAATCTGTTTCCAAAATTTAAGACAAAGAAAGCAATGCAATATAGATTAACTTTCAAAATTTTGTATTTGCACTTGCATTTAAGGCATGTTAATGAGAGAGCCTTATTAGGTAAAATGGTATCACACTTTTCAATGGCACAGAAAAACTTAGATTAATAGAATTTTTTCAAACTTTCCATTCCTCACATTTATTTGCATCATACAACTACATGGCAAACCAAGCATAACATGGGAATTTTGATGCTATCATACTTTATACAAGGACATTTCAAGTAAAGAAAATTTGGAAAATGATGACAGGTGTCTATGTTTCACCATCCTCTCATTACTCTCCATAGGTCCCCAGATTAGCCCTTTGAATCTAATTCATTAATTACTTAACGAATTGTGCACATATGTTCAAAGATACCATGGCAAGATTGTTCTCTGTAGCATTTTTATGCAAAGCGGAAAAAAATAAACACAACCTATTTGTCCTCACTAAAAGAATGAAAAACAGTTAATTATTCATATAACAGAATATTATAAACAACTATAAGTAATAAACAAAATCTACATGTTTTGACATGGATATATCTCAAAATATTAAGTCAAAAGATCCAGCTTCAAAAGTCTACCTGTAGTATGAGTCAATTTATGTAAAAAATTAAGAATAAGGAAAAGGGTATAAGGAGGAAAAAGTGGGTAAGGCATTCAAGGCAGCAGTCCTAATCAAAGTAAAGGAAGAAATACACAGAGGTATATGCCATATTCTGGGAATAGGTCGCAGTCCTCCATATGAAATTGTCAGGAAAAGATGCTAGAAAGATAGACAGTGGCCAGACTGTGAAACATTCTGATGGCTGTGCTAAGGAATTTGGACTTTACTATATTGGAAATGGAGAGCCAGAAAAATGATTTATTAGGAAGGTGAAATGAGCAGATCTATGCCTTAGGAAGATAACTGTGACTATCAGATGGAGAGGTTGGTAACAGAATTAGAAGCCTGTTAAAATAATCCAGGTAAAAGACAATAACTGACTCTGAGAACAGTTTGCATTTATCAGCAGGTATTTCAGGAGCAGATCTCAGTAGAAGACTAGGAACATATACCCAATCCTCATAAGAAAAGGGGGATTATAAAAAGTTAGATTAAGTGGTATAAAAATGAGAACAAAGTTATGATACCTGAGAAGAAAACAGGATAAGACAGAACTCTGGCAAACATCTGTAGACTGACATTAAAGCAGCAGGCAAAGAAGGAAACATCATGGAAGACAGAAAGCATGATCAAAGAGGTGAAAGAAAACAAGGAGGAAGTATTGTTTCAGAAACAAAAGGAAGAAAATATGTACTTAGCAAATAAAGAAGAGAGTAGATAAATGTATTTTAAGGATCTTTCCAGGCATTTTGATGGCTGTCTAATGGATTTTTAGTTAAGAAAATACTTCACAAACTCTGACCTAACTAGTCAACAAAAATATATATATTCTCACGTACACTGGTTCATGAACACTTAAAGGTCACCAGGATACATACATTATGGTCTCATGTATAGTGCATTCAAAGTTAGGTATAGCTCTGAAGAAGGTGACTAATAATGCTTCAATTAAAGACATAATCTTGTAAAATCAGATATAGTTTGAAGAACAGCAAGGAAATCAGAAATATACTGATGGAATGTAGTTTTGACTTGTATCATCACGGATGCTCTATTTAATTGTCATTGTAATTTTTCCTTTGGAAGCGTGTCATTATAATGGTAATAAGGTTATACATTTTTAAATAGTTACAGTAAAGCAACTCTACATGTAAGTAGCCAAATTTAATATACAAAAATTCAATTTATTCCCAACTTGTGGAAGGCTTCTCATTATAGATAACTGCTATAAAAAAGTATACTTTTTATTACCACTATATTACTAAAAACTTAAAGGGAAGTAGATATCCTTTATAACATTAAAAAAAACAAACCTTATCCAAGAAAACAAACTTCATTAAATTGTTGATAACATTTTTGATGAGTAATAAAGTTCTGATCTTAAGAATTCATTTAAAAAATTTAACATGTTTTTATTATAATGTTACATACGTTTCACCCCTGTGGTTTCTTACAGTAATTTTCTCAAAAAATTCCCATATGGACAATATTAATTAATGGATAAGTAATTATAAAATAAGCCTAAATATAGAATTAAAGTAAAACAAATTTTCCAGCAGTTCCTGACAGATTCAATAATTTTCAAACAATTATTAAAAAGGAATCAAAGTGTTCAGTCATGATTTGCTCATTCAGTTATTTTGCTCAAGTATTTAAATAATTGTTCAGATGATTGTTGTGGTCCAAAGGCGGGTTGGAAAAGAATTTCCAGACACAAGGCAGAATGCAAAGATAGAATTTATTAGAGGGAAGGGTCGCTGCCAGAACAGTGGGCCAACTTCCTAGTAGTCTGGGAGAGTCGAGCCAAAACATGTGCTATTGATCAGTTTTTATAGCCAGAAAACAAAGGAATGGTCTGAGGTAAAAATTTCGTTTACTGATTGGTTGAGGCACATGTACCTTCCTTGCATAGGGTGGGAATGGGACAGGGCAGATGCCTTTCCGTATTTGGGACAGGTCTCCTCGCCCAGGTGGGCTCAGGAATTTCGTAACCATGGCAACATGGCGGTGAGGGCGATTAAGAGTCTGGTAGAGGGTGTAAAAAAAAAAAAAAAGTAATGCTGAAAGTTTTTCAGGCAGCATTGTCTTTTCTCCTTGAAACACCATTGTCCTTCGAGCACCACACTGATCTATATAATGTAGTATTTCTTGAAACAGAACTTTGAAACTCAATCTAAATAGTGCAACTAGAGAAAGCATATAAGTAAAACAATGAGCTGTAGACTACAAAGCATTCTTCTGCAGCAGATTGAGAGTTCACATTATGCTCTTTTCTCTTACTCTGATAAATCTATTCTTGAGCTTGCCTATTATTACATAAGAAACTACTGCTGAGAACTGCAGTCAATACAGCAATGAAACTTTAATATCATCTTCCCTTGTTACAAGTGGTGTGATTTTCTGTCATTACCAAGATAGCTTTGACTGAGATATGAAGGCAGATGCACTGACACATTAAATAACCATATACTATTTAAGGGACACAGGAGTAGTTTCAAAAGAGGGGACAGAAGCCTCACAACAGGTCCCACATCATGTCATCAATTACAGACCTGTCACACTAATGACTAATGAAATGCAGGCTGCAGTGACAATGAGAACATTCATCTTGCTCTTCTCTGGAAAAGGTGCACCTGTATCCCACTGCACTCTGTCTTCTGCTACCTCCCACCTCCCTGATTTTTGTTCTCCATGACAGGGAATGTGATCCTGAGAATGCGATCTATCTATCATCCTTTCTTCCTGAAAGGCACCTTGACTGTGCTTAATGACTGTAATAAGACCAAACAATAGATAACATACCCCGAGTTCTTATATTCAGCCTCTCTGAAAATGGGCTCAATTGAGACAAAAAAAGGATCAAAGGATTGCACTAGAAAGGCAAGTATTTTACAACAGCTCACTTAATTTGCTCCTCTAGTTCACATCATATTCAGATAGGAAGTGTAACCAAAAAGTAATGGGACTGAATTTCTTGTGTAGATCATACAAAGAACAGCAATAGATGGTAAGTACACATTCTACATACTTATAAACTTAGATACACAAGCCTTGTAGATACTTATCAATAACAATTTTATTTTGAAGTGCATGTTACCAGCACACCCCAACATGAAAGCAAGAATGTTTTTAAACAAAAAAAATGTGAGAGATATTTTTATAACATTAAAAAAGATAAACTCTATCCAGCAGCTATTGCCCACTGCTGGTACTACTACTGTAAAGCAGCTCTTTGCAAAAAACCACCCTCAGCAGGAGACCCCTTTTGTCTTGTCACTTTCCTAAAGCTATATTGTAATTAACTTTTAAACCAGCTGCCCACATGCTCTACTCGTCTCTGGCCCAAGAACATCTTTCAAATCTTTTGATCACACAGTACCTTGCCTACCCTGTTGATTCTTTGCATAGATCAAAGAAGTAGAAATGAAGGATAAGTATTTAACCGAAGACTAGATCTTTTCCCCAGCTTCCCTTTCAGTAATCTTGTGAACAGACTGTGTGAACAAGATAGCATCTAAAGAAGGATCACAGGGAGTCCACAAATCTGCAGCAATGGGACATCACGAGGAATCGGATTCCCTACCTCAGGGATTAATTGAGATTATTTCCCCTTTAGCCCTTGAAAAACTTTCATGGCCGAGAAAAATCTTTAGAGCTGGCTTTGGGACAAGAAGCCACCTTCTCCCCAAATTGCTGGCCTTCTGATTACAGCAACTTTTCCATTCCTACTAGCACTTGCCTCTCAAGTATTGAATTTTGGGCAGCGAGCACCCAGACCTGAGTTGGGTAATGCCACTACTACTACTACTACTACTACTACTACTACTACTACTACTATCATCATTGTTACTCCTTCTGTTGCTGCTGTTGCTGCTATAGCTACATACCAGGCACTGTAAGGCACTTTCAAGATATACAGAGTCAAAGGAAAGGAATTTTAGGGGTGGATCTCAGGAGAACATAGCTGGGTTTATCTGAAAGAGGTCAGTATGTATTTGAACTGCCTGGAGCAAGAAGAGTTACCTTTTCTAGTTATAGGAAGGTATGTGATAATGGTGTGTGTAAGACACTAGAAGACTGTAAAATTCATGTTAAAATCCATTGGTGGGGGTGAGAGACGCATCTTATTACTGGGTTCTCTATAACAGTGTTTAAATCCAGGAAATCAACATGTTTTTTAACTTTCCCAGTTACCTCTATATATGCAGCAGTTTCTGAACCTGAACCCAAGCAAAAATCTGTACTGTGTACAATACATCTTAATGTCTGAAAAAAACTTGTACATGTGATGCTTTTCAGAAATGAGTGAATTACAGTCACTAGGTTTATTGTAAGCAAGCCCATAGGGGAAAAAAAACCCTGATGCATTCTATCTAACAAGCAAACTGAAGCCACTTATATAGGAAAGTTATAGGAAAAGATATCAGCTCTTTCACAGTTGATATTACAAGTATGGTAGGTAAAATCAGCTTCCAGTGAACAACTGAATTTACAATTTTAAATGAAAAGGCAGGTATTTCACACAAACATTTTAACATGTAATCTTCTATAATGAATATTTAATAATTTCACAGTCACAAGTCAACAGCCCTTGGGACTTTAAAAATAAATGATTCAATATTACAGGAAAGATCTTTGGCCTTTGTAGCCAAAAGATTTAAAGAAAAATTCAAATTTATGATAATTAGATAAAAATAAACATATATTGAACTTAAATATTTTGGTAACTGATACATAAATATTCACTAATCTTATTTTTTTTTTTTCTGTCTAAACAGATGTAATGACTTGCTCAGGGCTTGTCTTAAAGCATCTAGACTCTCCCATTCTTTCAAGAGTCTTCATTAAACTGTCAGGTGATGCTTGTAACCTCTGGCTTCAGCTATATTTCCTACCAGGATTAAATTAAAGAATATGAAGCTTTATATTGTTCTTCTTTCCACGTTGGCAGGGTCCCATAACTAAGTATGAAAAGAATTAAAGTGCAGAAACAGACATGATTTTTCTATCACATTCTATCTCTTTACTATAGTGTATAAAACATTTCTGATATTTTGTAATATATATAAACACATATTTTAAGTGTATATTTTTGTAATCAGTTTATATAATCTGAATGAACTTTCTCATTTTGTGTTTTAAATCTAAATTTGCTTGAAAGGGTGATTTAGTTCATCATAAATTAAGAATGTCAAGTAGTTGATCACAAATGTACTCAAAATGTCCTTCAGGATATCTAACACTGACCCAAAGGGTTTACCACAATTTATGCATATTATAATACACTCAGATTAAATCCTTCAAGTCTAGTCTCTAATAGATATTTATCTCTGAAGTTTCTATCAATAGACTTCAACACTCACTAGTGATCTTGCCCTTCTCTGATCTTCTCTAATGCTTATCATTCATACCAGTTTTTAAATGTTAACCAGTCTTTGCTAGGACAGGTTCTGTCCCTCTAACCAGACTGGAAGTTCTCTGAGGGCAAGAGTGCCTTACTTTTTCATACCCCCACTTGTAGATAGTAATAGGTCATTCATGTAACAAAGGTTCATAAATTTTTTTTACAAATTGATGATAATGTAAAAAGAGAAGAGAAGAAAGAGAAGAAAGGAAAGGGCAGAAGCATAAATTTAGGAACTGTATTATTATAAGGATATTGAAAAGTAAAAGTACAATTTGTAAAATTCAGAACATAGGAAAGTAAGACTCTAGTTGATTATTTGGGCAAGTTGATAAAATATAGCAGCAAATTGGTCGAAATAGCTCAAACTGCTAAAGCAATAGTCATAGTTTACTTGGCTGTGTTTATTTCACATATAATTTTCTGGACCCCAGACTGAGTTTTTCACAATCAAAACAGAATAGCATAATGAAAGGGATGGTACTGAATACTCTGCAATCAATCCTTTAAACAGGTCCTGAGCTGTAGAATGAGTGAACACTCAACTTTCCCTAACTTCAAATGGTCAATTCTGTCCTTTTAAGACAGTCTGCCTTAAACAGCAAAGCACTGTATTACTATTGATGTCATTATTGCCAGTTTTAAAGAGATTAACCAAAGCAGTTATTTATTCATTCTCACATGTGAAACATTTATTAACAATACATTTCCAATAATTTTTATCTAAACCCTGAAATTCAAATGTTACATAAAACAAAATTTTTGATATAATAGTGATGATAATACATTCAGTGGAAACAGGGTACATTAGATTAGAGCAAAGAAATCTTTAGTTTTACCCTCAGTACTGCCACTAACTAACCACTATGACCTGATTTCCTTTTCCCATATGAACCTGGTAAGATACACAAATATTTTAATTCTAATATAATATAGGAAGCAGAGGAAGGAAGGAGGGTAAAGGGAAGGAATGGGAGATAGAATGCACTACATTAAAAGGCAGTAAAACCTTAGTCCTGGTTTCAGCGTTGCCACTAACTCATTAATGTGACCTTGCCAAGTCACTTAAACTTTGCAGACCATACTGCCTCAACATAAAATGATGGGATTGGAGGATGTATTCTCAAAGGTTTCCACAAATTTTAAAATTCTATGCCTTGCTAAATTAATCAAAGTTAAATCATTAGCTGTACTGCCACAAGATTCTTACATCCTAAGGCAAATGACTTGTTTCCCTTATAACCAGAACAGACATAAACCTGCATTTTAAAATTTTCTCATATCTAAGTAGTTTCATCAGAAGACAAGAATAAGCAGTGCTACTCTGAATAAAGAGAATTACTCATATGAACAACTTTCTGAATTAGATAGCTATTTTGATTTCAATCTTTAACAAATTTAAATTGGTAGTTTTCCATGATTTTTTTTTTCAAAATTAAAAGTATGAGGTAAAATTTTTTTTCTTGAAAGTCAATTACTGAAGCATTTTAATAAATATGAATATTGCCCTAAAAGCAATACTCCTAATGGATAGTTACTATCAGTTCATAAACCATCAAAGGCTCTTTGCAACTGAAGATTGTTACCTACCTAGTAAAAATGCTTTAAAGGAACTCTAAAA